TAGAGATCATTTAAAGAATAGATTTGATGTATTGAACCCCAATGACCAAAAACCAGACGAATTGTAGGATGACATCAAGAACATCATCTGTGAAGGAAGCAAAAGGTCATTAAAAAGACAGGAAAGGAAGAAAAGAACAAAATGGATATCAGAAGAGATTGTGAAACTTGCCTTTGCTAAAGCAAATGGAAAAATGAACAAGATAAAAGAGCTCAACAGAAGATTTCAAACTGCAGCTCAAGAAGACAAAATCAATTATTATAATGAAATGTGCAGACTTGGAATTAGAAAACCAAAAGAGAAGAATGAGCACTGCATTTCTCAAGCCGAAAGAACTGAGGAAAAAATTTAAGCCTTGACTTGCAATATTGAAAGATTCCATGGACAATATGTTGAATGATACAGGAAACATCAAAAGAAGGTGGAGGAAATATGGAGAGTCACTATGCCAAAAAGAATTGGCAGATGATCATCAATTTCAGGAGGTGACATATAATCAAGAACCAATGGTACTGAAGGAAGAAGTTGAAGCTGCACTGAAGGAACTGGTGAAAAACAAGGCACCAGGAATTGATGGAATACCCATTGAGATGTTTCAACAAATGGATGCTGCAGTGGAAACACTCACTCAGCTATGCTGAGAGATTTGGAAAACAGCTACCTTTCCAACTGACTGGAAGAGATCTTTTTGTACCTATTCCAAAAAAAGCTGATCCCATAGAATTTGGAAATTGTCAAACAATATCATTGGTATCACGCACAAATAAAATCTTACTGAAGATAATTCAAAAACGGTTGCAGCAGTATATCGACAGAGAACTTCCAGAAATGCAAGCTGCATTTAGAAGGGGATATGGAGTGAGGGATATCATAGTTGATGTTAGATGGATCTTGGCTGAAAGCAAAGAATACCAGGAAGATGTTTACTTGTGTTTTATTGACTATGCAAAGGTATTCAACTGCGTGGATCATAACGAATTGTGGGTAACATTGAGAAGAATAGGAATTCCAGAACACTTAATTGTACTCATGAGGAACCTGTCCATAGACCAGGAGGCTATCATTCGATCAGAGCAAGGGGATACTGCACGGATATAAGATCAGGAATGGAGTGTGTCAGGGTTGCATCCTTTCACCATACCTATTCTATCTGGAGGAAGTACAGCTGGAATGTTCCTCGGAAGCGAGATTTTATCTCACCTACGTTGGTCATGTTGTCAGAAGGGACCATTCTCTGGAAAAGGACGTCATGCTTGGTAAGGTGGAGGGTCGACGAAAGACGGGAAGGCCCTCAACCTGATGGACTGATACAGTGGCTACAATGATGGGCTCAAGTATAGCAAGGATCATGGAGCTGGTGCAGGACTGGGGGTGTTTGTTTCTGTTGTGCATAGGGTTGCTATGAGTCAGACATGACTCGACAGCACCTAACAACAATAACATTCAATCTGTATGCTGAGCAAATAATCCGAGAAGCTGGACTGCATGAAGCACGTAGCATCAGGATTGGAGGAAGGCTCATTAACAACCTGAGATACACAGATGACACAACTTTGCTTGCTGAAAGTGAGGATGACTTGAAGCACTTTACTGATGAAGATTAAAGACCACACTTTACAGTATGGATTGCACCTCAATATAAAGAAAATAAAAATCCTCACAACTGGACCAATAAACTGCATATGATAAATGGAGAAAAGACTGAAGTTGTCAAAGACTTCATATTGCTTGGTTCTACAATCAATGCCAATGGAAGCAGCAGTCAAGGCATGAAAAGACATACTGCATTGAGCAAATCTACTACAAAAGACTTGTTCCAAGCACTGAAGAGCAAATGTATCTTCTTGAAGACTAAGATGAACCTAACCCACGCCATGGTACTTTCCGTCGCCTCATATGCATGTGAGTGCTGGACAATGAATAAGGAAGACTGAAGTAGAGTTGATTCTTTTGAGATGTGGTGTTGGCGAAGAATGCTGAAAGTACTGTGGACTGCTAGGAGAACTAACATCTGTCCTGGAAAAGTCTAGCCAGAATGCTCCTTGGAAGCAAGAATGACCAGACTTTGTCTTACCTACTTTGGTCATGTTGTCAGAAGGGGCCATTCTCTGGAGAAGGATATCATGCTTGGTAAAGTGGAGGGTCAGAAAAAAAGGGGAAGACCCTCAACATGATGGATTGACACAGTGGCTGTAATGATGGACTCAAGTGTGACCAGGATTGTGAGCATGGCACATGATTAGGCAGTGTTTTGTTCTCTTGTACATAGGGTTGCTGTGAGTTGGAACTGACCTGGTGGTACCTAACAAGAACAACAGCATTTAATATATCTTCAGCAAATAATCCATGATGCTAGATTTTGAAGAAAAATGGCATTGGGATTGGAGGAATACTCATTAACAACCTGTGTTATGCAGATGACACAGCCTTGCTTGCTGAAAGTGAAGAGGAGTATATTTTGGACATGCTGGAGAAGGATATTATGCCTGATAAAGCAGAGAATCAGAGAAAAAGAGGAAGACCTTCAAGCAGATGGATTGACACAATGGCTGTGACAGTGGGTTCAGACATAGCAATAACTGTAAAGATGGCAGTGGACTGTGCAGCATTTAGTTCTGTTCTGTCACTATGTTAGAACCCACAACAACAAAGCAGCTTCCTTCTGCTTCATTCTTAGTGCGTGAATGCCTTAAATGGAAATGTGCATAAAATAGAGGACTCAGTATCTGGAGGTTCATTCCTTCAATCCATTTTTTCTGCACATCTTAGCATCTCAAGTTGTGTCTACTTGGTAGCCCTGAATTCCAATTTTTGTCCACGCTGCCCAGGAGACTGCTATGTGTTTTAAGCTTTTTTCTGTGTTCTATGCCCTTGCCACAAATCACCAAATGATCTGAGAGAAGGTAGCTGCAGCAAACTCCCCTCTAAAATCAAAATCCTTTGGATGTTGCAACCTTTGTCCAGGCTGCCATAGTTGCTTTTTGATGCCTTCAGACCTTTGTGGGGTTTTTTTTGGTTTGTGTTTTTGTTTTTCTGACTTGTTTGGTTAATCTCAGTGGGAGAAACTATTTTCAGAGTGAAGTAGGGTAGTTGTAGAGAAGCTTTAAAAGAAAGTTACAACAGAAAAGTTAAGGAATGTAAAGTTTAGAAATTCTCATGAAACCACTGACTGTTCACATAAGTTCCTGTAGAAGTTCCGATATCACTTCTTACGTGAATCCTGCTTTAGATCCCCTATATTGTTCTCTCTGTAGGCCCCTTGGATTTACCACATTGTCCCATTATCTCTGTATATATCTCTCCCAGTTTATACCCATTGCTGTTCAGTCAATTCCAACTCATAGTGACCCTAAAGGACAGAGTAGAACTGCTGCCATAGGGTCAGCAAGGCTGTAAGTGTTTATGCAAGCAGATTGCCACATCTTTCTCCTGCAGGATGATTGGTGAGTTCAAACAGCTGACCTTTTGGTTAGCAGGCAAGCACTTAACCACTGTGCCACTAGGATTCCTTTCAGTATACCAAAAAAACCAAACTCAATGCCAATGAGTCAGTTCCAACTCATAGCTATCCCCATTGGGTTTCCAAGGTGGTAAATCTTTATGGAAGTAGATTGCCCTGTCTTCTTTCCATGGAGCAGTTTGTGGGTTTGAACTGCCAACTTTCTGGTTAGCAGTCAAATGCCTTAGGCACTTCACCACTGGTATATAGTGAGATCTAAAACAGTGACAGTCCCATACATAGTATTTCCCCTACCACAACAGCACCTATCACATAGTTGGCTTTTAATAAGTAGTTGTTGTTGTTAAGTGTCATCGAGTCATTTCCAACTCATAGTGACCCCATGCACAGCAGAACGAAACACTGCCCGATCCCGTGCCAGCCCCACAATCCCTGCTATACTTGAGCCCATCATCGCAGCCACCGTATCAATCCATCTCGTTGAAGGCCTCCCCCTCTTTCATCGACCCTCTACCCTACCAAGCATGACATCCTTCTCCAGGGAATGGTCCCTTCTTACAACATGACCAAAATAGGTGAGACGAAGTCTGGCCCTTCTTGCTTCCGAGGAGCATTCTGGCTGCACTTTCTCCAGGACAGATCTGTTAGTTCTTTTAGCAGTCCACGGTACTTTCAGCATTCTCCGCCAGCACCACAACTCAAAAGCATCAACTCTTCTTTGGTCTTCCTTATTCATTGTCCAGCTCTCACATGCATACCAGGCGATTGGAAATATCATGGCTTGTGTCAGGCGCACCTTAGTCCTCAAGGAGATATCCTTGCTCCTCAGCACTTGATACAGTTCCTTCACAGTTGACTTTCCCAAATGCTACACGTCGTCTAATGTCCTGACTGCTGCTTCCGTTGGCATCAATTGTAGAACCAAGCAACTGAATTCCTTGACAGCCTCAATCTTCTCTCCATTTATTGTGATGCTGCTCATTGGTCCAGTTGTGAGGATTTTTGCTTTCTTTATATTGAGACGTAATCCATACTACAGACTGTATTCTTCAACCTAAATCAGTAGGTGCCTTAAGTCATCCTCACTTTCAGCAAGCAAAGTTGTATCGTCTGCATATCTCAGGTTGTTAATGATAAATAAATAGTCTTTTACCTTATAAATTCACCTTTGAAGTTAGATGCAGGATTATCTTTTCATTTTTCAAGCATTAGAGTGGTGATTTTGTGTACAGTACTCTGTGTACTGTTGACTGGGAAGTGGGAAGGTAGCAGCATTTTAGGTCATAAAAGACCTAAAATACACAGTTTTTCAAGTAGCCAACACTTGTGTGGGAGAAATCGCAACACATGTGAAAGGTGTATGAACAGTACAAATGTGAAATTATTCTCAGCACTGCCATGTTGACTGCTCCAGGGGATGCCCTTCACATGTAGAAGGTTTTCGTGGATTTGTGCAGCCCCGTGGTCCTGTATGGCCTTGCACTTGCCATCTCCTAGTTTAACTGAGGTTTGTAAAAGCACTGTTTTCTATTAATTTCAGGTAACTCTCAGTGAAGGTCCTCACCATGTGGCCTTGTTTAAAGATAGTTCTCGGGAGTTTGATCTAACCAAAGAGGAAGATGTAAGTAGAAAAAGCAAGAATGTTATAATATTTTTGAAAGACTTGCCTACTAACAGGTTCCTGTGTATAACTTTAGAGGCTGAATAAGCTCATAAAAGAGAATATTTGTGAAGCAAAGATTTTGTTGGCTTTCCCTTACAGCTTGCAGCATTGAGACATGAAATAGAAATCCGAATGAGGAAAAATGTGAAAGAAGGCTGTACTGTTAGTCCTGAGGTAAGGATTGCAATTCATATTCCCAAATATGTAAATTAAAATGTTATCAGAGATTTAGGTAATAGGATTGTGTATAATTTTGCCATTCTTCTTCATACATTTGTTCGTAGGGTAATTTTCTATAATTACTACTTTAAGGATTAAAAAAAAAAAAAAAAACGAAACTCACTGCTGTAGAGTCAATTTCAACTCATAGTGACCCCTCCTTGGGTTTCTGAGGCAGGATCTCTAAGGAAATAGACTGCCCAATCTTCCTTCCAGTGGCTGGTGGATTGAGGACCATATCTGAATGACTGTGTTAAAGACATTGCAGAATATATGTCACCAGAAAACTCTGAACACCCTCATCCTCAAATTTTTGTATTTTTTTCTTTCTGCATAGACCATATCCTTAAATGTAAAAGGCCCGGGACTACAGAGGATGGTGCTTGTTGATTTACCTGGTGTGATTAATGTAAGTGTATTCAAATATGTATTTTATTTCATTCTTAGTGTGGAAAACATTTATAATGACATTTAAAACCTTTTTCTTCAAGACTGTGACATCAGGCATGGCTCCTGACACAAAGGAAACTATTTTCAGTATCAGCAAAGCCTACATGCAGAATCCTAACGCCATCATACTATGTATTCAAGGTAAAGCTAATCAAAAGTTGTTTTTGTTTTTTAGTTATTATTAAAATAATTTAGAAAAGCTCCTCCCAGTATAAATTGCCCCACCTTCTATCTGCTTGCCATGCATGATAGGAACAGTCACTTGGATAGATTTTGACTGCTAGCCATGGCACCCATGTTGTTTTGAGCTGCCTGCATATTAGGCCTCCTTAACTCATCCCCTGAGATCTGGCTTGAGGTTTTATGGTTGTTTGAGGTCAGACCTACCTTGGGAAGACTAACTGCCCCACACTTTACCCTGATGTTCATCCTTTTAGTAAAAATATTACATTAAATACATATATCACATAACTCATTTGGACTGTGACCCTGTAGTCTGGCCTTATTAAATACAATTATGATATTTGACAAAACTATCTCATAAGTTTCTATTGCAGCAAATGTCACAAGGAAAGTCATTGATATACTTTCTTATTTAACAATCCTGTCTTTTCCCTAAATATACACATTATATAAACATATAAGATAAATGTTTTTGCCACCTCTTTCTCATTCAATTTATTCATAAGTAGAATTGAAGTTGAGATTATTTTAGTAGGCACCATTGAAATTTCAGTGGCTAGATTTTCTTTTTATAGTAAGGTAAATGTAATAACTTTTTCTTTAAATACAAAGCTGTAGCTGTTGCTAAGTTTTTGAAAGCTACTTTGCAATTATTAGAATATCACTCCTCAATTTTTTTCAGACGGCTCTGTGGATGCTGAACGCAGTATTGTTACAGATTTGGTCAGTCAAATGGATCCTCATGGAAGAAGGACAATATTTGTTTTGACCAAAGTAGACCTGGCAGAGAAAAATGTGGCTAGTCCAAGCAGGGTGAGGGCAAGTTCTTTATTGTGAGATCAGATTTTTTCTCCTAATGTGATAGGGAGTAGTTGTTTTAAAAAAGTGTGGATACTTTATCAGAGAACAGTAGCAGGATTTTTCTTGGTTCCTATTAAAAAAGTATTGGAAGTTACAGTCAGGTACAGCTTTGTACTTAACTAAAATTTTAGTATATAAATAAAATTCTATTATTGTATTTCATTTGCTTTCCAAATATTCTAACTACAGTTATTGCTTGCCTTAATTTAATTTAGATAATTTTGGATGCCAACGTATATTCTTTAACTTCATTGTGGTGTTTTTATTTGCTTAGTTTTGTTTTTTTTTTTTTTTAGTTGTTCATAATCTAGTATATAACTACTAGCACTATACATTCCTCTTAAACCCCTTACTGAAGCCATTTTATTGCAGAAAATTTGCATCCCTCCTAAGTCATCAAAAAACTGTATTGTAAATTTTTATGGTAGAAAAGACATTGGATTGGGAATTAGGCCTCAGTATTGTCATCTGTGTTTTACCACCAACTGCCTTTATATCCTTGGGCAGGTTTTGTCACTTGTCTGAGTCTAGTCAGTGCAGAATTCATCTCGTTGTTTTGGTTGATCTCTATAAAGTCATTTTCATTTCTGAATTTGTGTGTGTGATAAACATGATGTTGAGGGTCCCTTAGTGAATTATGTTTTTAGTATTACTTCATTGAAACTTGTAGCACCATTGCTCTTCCCTCCCCCCTTAACAAGGAAAGAGTTTTATTTCAAGGTAATCTTATATTAAGTCTTTCATTAAGTGCATGTCTTGATTTAAAGTATGCTTTGTACTTAATTGTAAAGGCATGGGGTAGTGGTTAGGAGTAAAGAAATATAGCCATATTGCTTGTTTTAAAATCCTGGGTCTGCCTACCATTTGCTAGCTTTGTAATCTTGGACAAGTTATTTAACTTCTCAGGACTTTAGTTTCTGTATCTGGTGGAAGTAACAAAGCAATGGTACTGCCTCATAGATTGCGAGGATATAATGAGTTAAATATATCACAAAGTGGTTGAAACAGTGCTTGGCACATAAATTATCTATCCTCTAATATGATATCAATATTCCCATAGAATGGCAATTTCAGACTGTAACTTCTCCCATCCTTGGTACTGCTGCTTAAAATTTCCCTCCTTTCTACTTTAGGATTTCTGGGACAATACCTTTGTGTCAGGGGACCCTAGGACCAACCCTAGGTTCAGTGATTCCATATAAGGACCCACAGAACTTAGCAAAAAGTCATGCTCACAGCTAAATTTTATTACAGCTAAAGGAGACAAAGCAAAATCACAAAGGGAAACCATACATGGGTGAAGTGTAGAGAAAACCAGGCATAACTTTCTAGGAGCCTTCTACCAGTAAAGCCACACAGGGCATAGTTCTTCCAGCAACAAGTGACAACATATGTGAGTGTTGTCTACTAGGAACCTCATTAGAGACTCAGAGTCCAAGGTTTTTATTGCAGGCTGGTTGTGTAGGCACCCTCATATACCAAACTTCCAGACTCCCAAAAGAAAAGTGGGTGTTCAGCAAAACACATTGCTTGCACAATGAGCCACTCTTCTTTAGGGAAAGAAAGTTTTATATCAGTTTATGGAACTAGTCAAGTTCCATGTTGCCAGCCAAGGGCAAACATTTCGAACAGGGCTTTCTAAGGATAGCAGTTGTGGGCCATTATGTTAACTCTTTTTTGCACAGTCTCCATGAGCTCCACTTTGGCCTATTTTTGAATAGGCCTGCTGTGGCAATATTGGTCTTATAGCGAGAAAGGGAGAAATGAGGTGGAAGCACCACCCTCTGTCTTCCTTTCATTTCTTTCTAAGATAAACAAAAAAAAATGCAACACACAGCCGTCGAATCAGATCAGACTCATAGCGACCCCTCCTTGGATTTCCAGCGTGGTATCACTACAGAATTAGATTGCCCAGCCTTCTGTCTGAGGAGTGGCTGGTGGGTTTTGAATCACCAGCCTTCCGTCTGAGGAGTGGCTGGTGGGTTTGAACCACCAGCCTTCTGGTCAGCAGTGAAATGCCTTAGGCACTACTGTACCAGAGCTCTCCCTTTCTAAGATAGTTTATTATATTTCTTTCAAGTACAAGTGAAACTTAACTTCATAACTCAAGTAAATGTAATAACATTTTTCTTGCTGTAATCTAAATGTAAAGTTGTAGCTAGTACTAAGTTTTTAAAAGATAACTTTGCAGTTATTGCAGTGTCACTCCTCATTTTTTTTCAAGTCTTTTTTATTCCAAAGATTCAGCATTATTTTAGGTCTTTAACTTGTGTTAGAGGAGCTTTTCTTAACCAGGTGTTAATGTGAATAAGTTTTAAGGAGTAGAAATGCTTTTACATAGTATGCAAATATTGGATGTGGAACTAATAACTATACCTATCATTTATTGAGTGCTTCTAAGTGCCTGACACTATGCTAAATATCTGTACTGTATAATATACAACTTTTTTAAAAGAGTCAAGTTGAGGAGCTCTGGTAGCGTGGTGCCTAAGGCACTTGACTGCTAACCAGAAGGCTGGCAGTTCAAACCCACCAGCCACTCCTCAGAAGGAAGGCTGGGCAATCTAATTCCGTAGCGATACTGCCTCGGAATCCCAAGGAGGGGTCGCTATGAGTCGGGTCTGACTCAACGGCACATAACAACAACAGCTTATTCAGGCCACTTAGCTATTAAGTGGCAGAGCAGGGACTCAAAGTGAGTTCTTTCTGATCCCAGAGCGTCATTCCAACTCTTAATTATGGTTCATATGTCTTAATAATACATTTTCCAGTGTTGAAAGTTTTAAATATATTTTTTTTTTCCTTAAATACCATTTGAAATACATTTTAAATCCTTTTGTACAAATTTGTTTATTTTACTAAACATACATATACAGGGTCATTAAACTTTGCTTTCTAAGTTGTATGTTATGCTTTCTGTAGTTACAAAAGCCTATCTTACATTTATTTTCCCCACCTAAAAATAGATTCAGCAGATAATTGAAGGAAAGCTCTTCCCAATGAAAGCTCTCGGTTATTTTGCTGTTGTAACAGGAAAAGGTATGCAAAGAGGGACTATAATTTTTTCAGTTTGCATTTTCAAATAATAAAGGCTAATTTTCTTAATGAAAACGTGGCCATTTTCTTTCTCTAGGAAATAGTTCTGAAAGCATTGATGCTATAAGAGAATATGAAGAAGAATTTTTCCAGAATTCAAAACTCTTAAAGTAGGTATCTTGTTTAATATTTAAATATTTTACAGTGAGAGTACAGCTTAAATGAAACTATTTTCACTTAAAAACTTGTGTTTTATAGCTGTTAGCTTAACACTGAATCTCTAAATTTTTACCAAATAGTGGTCTGGAACTAGTAAATAAGTCTTTAAGATGCTCTTTGATAGAATTGGAAGCAGTTTATTATATGAACAGTGCCCATAGATGTTGGCAAAACAAAGGGCTTTAAAGCCAATGTAGACAAGTGCTTAAGTTGTTTTACGGATAACGGTACCACTCCTTAGATAATAAAAAAAATCAATACTTAAGTTTTTAAATATATGTGCATGTTTATAATACTGAAAATATGACATTGAGAGAAAAGCTGACAGGAAGAGACAAAGGGCAATTGGATTATATTTTAAAATATATATGTTTATTGGAATAGAAAATTGGCTTTACTTCTACAGTAGTACAATATATCAATAGAGTTCTTGTGAATCAGAGAGTCCTGTGTATTATCTTTTAGGAAGAGAGCTGACAAGAATGTGGAACTGTGCTCTCCAATGTAGTATAGCCACTAGCCCCATGTAGTTATTTAACTTTAAATTGTTGTTGTTGTTATGTGCCGTTGAGTCGGACCTGACTCATAGCAACCCCTCCTTGAAATTAGGTAAAATTAAATAAAACTACACTTTCAGTTCCTCAGCCCACCTAGCCACAGAAAGTGTGGCTAAAAGCTATCAGGTTAGACAGCACAACTACAGAACAATTTATTCATCACAGAACGTTCTGTGGGGCTGCCATAAGTGTATATGTGGTTATTTGCAACACACATTCTCAGACTTAGTGAGATGGTACTATTGCCTTGTTGCCATTTTAAAACACCATAGCTTTTGTTATTTTTCTATAGGACAAGCATGCTAAAGGCGCACCAGGTGACTACAAGAAATTTAAGCCTTGCTGTATCAGACTGCTTTTGGAAAATGGTACGAGAGTCTGTTGAACAACAGGCTGATAGTTTTAAAGGTAAGTTATATTTTTTAAATAAGTAAACAAATTTGGATATGTTATGAGCTGGCAATCTTTAGATCCATCAGATTCTTTACTCTCTTTAACAGTGGCTTACTAGTTCATTTACTATTCAGTAGAATGTGGAAAATGAATAAAATTCAAATCTTCAGTGGTTGTATAAGAACAGAATTTTTCCTTTCACAGTAAACACTGCTAGCAAAACATTGCAGAGTTTAAACAGATTAGGAAAGTTTACAGTAGTGTTTGTGAGAAAGAGCTTATTAAGCTGTTGTTGTTGTTAAGTGCCGTCGAGTCAGCCCCGACTCATAGTGACCCCTCCTTGGGTTTCCGAGGCAGTATCACTACGGAAGTAGGATTGCTCAACCTTCCTTCCGAGGAGTGGTTGGTGGGTTTGAACCGCCAGCCTTCTGGTTAGCAGTCAAGTGCTTTTAGCCACTATGCTACCAGAGCTCCTATTAAGCTGTAGAAAATTGTATTTCCCCTTTTTTAGGGAGGAGAGAGGAAGTGGTACTACATTGTACTGTTTCCTGAATCCCACATTTCCCTGCTCCATGTCTTTGCTTCAACAGTTTCATCTGATGAGAGTATGTTCTACTTCCCTTTTCCCAAATGGAAATCGTACTATTAATCCTATTTAGTCCCTCAACAACTTTGTATGTATTATTTTTATTTACACTTTACAGAAGAGGAAACAGAGGCACAGAATAACGTATCCAAATAACTTACCCAGGGTCATAGAGCAAATAGAAAATAGACCTAGGATTTGAATCTTAGTACTACTCCTCTGGAGTCCATGCCATTAGCAGCTACACTAAACTGCCTCAGCTGTGTGTTTTGTGATTGAAAATAGACAAAGGAGAGTCAAAGAGCTTAGAAATGATGAAATTCTGAATGTTGAGAACGTAGAATATTAAGGGGGCATGGGTACACCCTCAGAAATTCAGTTGATACAGAAGATATATGCCTTTATCCACTGTATCTGCAAAAAGGACTCTTCAAACTCAAATATTCTTCCTTCTTCCTCAGCAACACGTTTTAACCTTGAAACTGAGTGGAAGAATAACTACCCTCGCCTGCGAGAACTTGACCGGGTAATGTTTGTGTGCATCATATATTTTGTATATATTTTAATCTAAAATGTATTCTAAGGAAGTGTATATTGATGAGAGAAATCTGGTAAGTTAAATTGCTTAGGTTTTAATCATGACCACCTGTTTAGAGCTACAGAAATACACTTCCTAGATCGGTTAACTATTCTGTAATAATTTAAATTATTACATAACATTGAAAAATAATTAGAGATCCCAGGGTATCAAAACTTTCTGAGCAAATGAAGAATATTCTTTATATGTCTTACAGAATTAATATATTTGTGTAATGTAAGATGTTTTCAATGATAAATCAACTTTACCTTTTCAGCCTTTATTATTAAGCTATACTCTAATTTATTGGAAACTAAATATTTTTCTTTGATTCTGAATTGTAAAACACAATATCAGTTTACTAAGTTACTAATATACTAAATTAACTGTATGTGTTGTTGCCTTCATGTAACATTATGTGAAAATGTGATGTTTGCAAATATTATGTGAAAAATTCATTTAAAGTTGAATAAGTAAAGCAACATTTTGAGTCCATTCCTTTGTACTTATCTGAATATTGACATTCCTAAAAGAGACTAGAAGAGAAAAGCATTATTTGCTGTTCATACTTCAAAACTAAGCTCATTCTGCTAGGCTGTCAAAAGCCTTCTTTCTGGTTATCTCTGAAAATTATAGATAGGGTAAAATTATTATCCTGTGAAAATCATATTTACTTATATCTATATTCTTAGAATGAACTGTTTGAAAAAGCTAAAAATGAAATCCTCGATGAAGTTATCAGTCTGAGCCAAGTTACACCAAAACATTGGTAAGTATTTGACTTTGATATTAATCCTTTTTTCTCAAAGAATTTACTATATTGCAATATGATAAAATTTTAAAACCGAGATGGATAGTATGGGGACTTATTGTTGCTTTGGCTCTTTCACCAAAAGATTTAGTATGTCGGCAAGAACATAAACATACATCTTTTTGAAAAAGTAGTATAACGAATTGAATTTCTCACATACAGCTTTCTCCATGCTCTTTTTAAATCTTGATTTGTGTTTGACTTTACTTTATAATTATTGAATACATAATTGCAGTTTCTAAAACATCACTTATGTAAAATTTTATCAAATTGTGCTTTAGGTGAATAACAAACAAATCTATCAAAATTGACTGCTTTTGTTGCATTAATCGTAGAAAACAAAAACCCTAGAGAAAATATACATTTGGCATGTGAAGGGAAAATAATGTATATTTTCAGTTTCTTATTTCTGAGTGTATCGGTTACCTCTGTGCCGCTCTAACAGAAAATATACCACAAATGGGATGCTTGAACAAATAGGAGTTTATTCTCTTACAGTTTAGAGGTTTTAAGTCTGAATTCAAAGTGCCAGGCTCTAGGGGCTGGGTGAAAGCTCAACCCACTGAAGCTAGAGGCTTTTCTTCACTCAGTTGTTGGCTGTTCAGACTGACAAGCCCAAGGTTGACAAGTAAAAAGGCATAGTCCCAATGTTACCAAACCACACTGCAGGCCATTAATTCAAGTCCATTGAAAGTCTCAAGGTCAGCAGAACATGGCAGGCTGCTGAACAATGAATGACATGGCTACTTGCAGAGTTCAAGCATGCCATAAGCTACAGACCATTCCCAAAGCTGTTTCTTATATACGGGAAGCAGACCACATACCCAAAGCAGCTACTCAGCTGCTCCAATAGAGTCTACCATGGAGTTAATTACCAGTGTCACATGGGGAATAACTGCATTCAGCTGCCCAGCCACTCAACTAGGCCCAGTCAAGTTGACACACAAGCTTAACCACCACACAGAGTAAGAGCAATTAGTGCTTTTTGTAGCATGTACCTACTATATGCAGATCACATTTTGAATTGAATCTTATTTGCGATTTTTTAAGTAGCAGGTAATTACATCTTGGGAAATTCTCATGCATATCCTTTTTTAAAGTAAACTGTCTCCTTCAATATGTATTTTATGTAAATTTGTGCATTGTTAAACTTGTTGGAATGGAGTACCCTAACACCAAAAGATACACTTTGTAACTCAAACAAGATATATATACATAAGTAACTGGAATTTTTGCAATTGTATTTTAATTACAAATTAAAAATGTAATAACTTACCATTCTTAGAACTGAACTATACTTATAGCCATTCATTCTAAATATTTTCTGTATCTCTTCTCTGTGATCAATTGACAGTTTACAAAATTGAGCTTGGACATAAATATGCAGTATTTAAGTTTGAATTCTGTGTCTCTAGGTTCTCCATCTCAGTGTTCATATGTCCTCAGAGGTGAACATCCTTCTCTCTTCAAGCACTCAACTTTTAGCTATTTTTATCTCTTCTCCTTATCCAGAAGATGGATCTCATCTATATTTGCTATTGATTAATCAAATATATATGCAACATAATTTGTTACCTTTGTTGTTGTTTGTATTTTAAGCCAGTTCTGTAGCTTTACTTAAGTCCATTATTTTGAAGTTGCAGGAGATATATGGGGGGTAGGGGGGTGTCTGTGTGTTTGTGTGTGTGAGAAAGAAACAGGGAAGGCAAGTAAGAATGTAAAGTGATTTATTTGTCATAGGGTACGGTATTAGGGACACAACAAAAATTATCGTGATGGAGAAGAGTGGTGGGAGTGTGGAACAGAGGCCTGTAGTGTGGTGATGAAAGGGCAGGTGATGCCAGATGAAGATAGGAAACAGCAGCTGCCTGTGGTCAATTAGGAAGCAGTAGCCTTCTCTGGGGAACTCTAGTAGCATAGTCCCTAAGACATCTGACTGCTAACCAGCAGGCTGGCAGTTCAAACCCACCAGCCACTCCTTGGAAGAAAGATTGGGCAATCTACTTCAGTAGACATATTGCCTCAGAAACCCAAGGAGGGGTCACCAAGTTCAAGGGGGACTTCCGGTGGCATAGTACCTAAGGCATTTGACTGCTAACCAGAAGGCTGGCAATTCAAACCCACCAGCCACTCAGAAAGAAGATTGGGTCATCTACTTCTGTAGAGATACCTCCTCAGAAACCTAAGGAGAGGTCGCTGTGAGTTGAATCTACTCAATGGCAGTGAGTTTGGTTTTGGGAGTTTAGCTTCCTCTGAAATAGGTACCTCAGGTTTATTGGGATTTGGTGCTCTGGATTTTTCTCATGATTTTGTAGATTGTAGATTCCTAGCCCACAGATTCCCAGGAGGAGGTAACAGACCACATGTGTTCCAAAGTCAGGAGTAGGAAGAAGCCCTGATGGTCAAAAGCTAGATCTTTGTCTTCTGTTATCTTTCCGAAATCTCCTTGGGTTTTTGTTTAAAATGGCATCTAAATAGGAGCTTCTGACAAGCTTCTTCCAGCTTGCTCCTGAAATTCTTTCACTGTCTGTCATTACCTCTATCTAAAATGACTTTGCCCTTCTGGTCTTCAGTTGATGGAGACTCTCTTCATCATACCTTTTGTTTGTTTGTTTTCTGGTTATAATTAAAGAAATGCCTGAACAATAGCAAGGGGAAGACAGCAGCTAAGCTTATTAACTTTTAATAGCTTAGTTTTCTACAGAATGTTGAGAAAGTCATCTTAGTTGGGGTAGAAGTTGACTCTCCTCACCCAAGAGAGTGCAACTCACCTTTCTGAACAGCAGGATGTTTCTGCTGGTTAACTTGGAAGTTTAGAGTTTGAGGTTACTTTTAAGACTGGCCACCTTGCTCAGGACAATAATCGCAGGGGACATCAAGCTCAATTGGCATGACATACTACACAAAACATTGTCCCACCTCCTACTTCGGTGAGTAGCAACTGGAATCTTAAAAGCTTGCAAGCAGCCATCTAGATGCAACGATGGGTCTCTCCTCATCCAGAGCAAAGAAGAATGAAGAAAACCAAAATTCATGGAAACAGTTATTCCTGGTGACTGGTACACCATCCGATCCGCAGCCTATACAACTATAAGACCAGAAGAACTAGATGGTGCCCGGCTACCTGGATAGAGGGAGAACAATGTGGACCAAAACTCAAAATCATTTGGGGAAAAAAAGCGGGCGGACCAAGTTTGCTGGTCTGATAGAGCCTGGTGGAACCACTGAGACTATGGCCCCTAGCTGCCCTTCAGTCTGGAATTGAACCCATACCTGTGGCTTCCAGACAAACGAAAGGCAGGCATATGAGTTGAACATTTACCTGAGGTAGATACATTCCTTGGAGAGAACAATCATGGGAGAAAGAAGGGCTGTTTATGCACAGTGAGATAGCTCAGGGGGCAAGAGTGCATGGAGGGATGGACATAGGGAAGAGGTAACTATCGGGAAGAAGTGGGAGGGGAGCTGTTGATTGGGGTAAATTGTAGTCAGTGTCATGAGACAAAGTATATGTGAACTGCTGTATGGAAAGTGAATTTGCTCTGCAAATTTTCACCCAAATCACAATTAGAAGGAAAAAAAAAAGACCCGCCACCTTATAACAATTTTGTGTTACAGTATACTGTTATAGTAGAAGTTAGTTTGGAAGAAGCCAAATAAATATTTTCTTAATAGTCTAGGTTATTTTTTTATTTTTTTTGCCTTGATTGAAATAATTGTCTTTTTCTTATTTAGAGATTTTGTCTTTTAAAGCAGAAAGTTTAATTTGCTAATACATCTTTTATATTGTTACCTTAATCTTGAAGTGTTAATAGTTTTACCTAACAACATCCCATAACATCTTTGTGTTTTCTGGTTCAGTCTGATACAATTTGTAAAATTATACTAGGAACTTTTCAGTCTTGGATTCTACCTCAAAATCAAAATCTGTAAAGTTGTTAAAAGAAAAAATGCACTTAATTATTAGGTATAAATAAGTACATGAAAATATGCCCAGAATCATTAGTCATTAGGGAAATGCAAATTAAGGCCATGATCTAGCATATAAACATGTCAAGAGTGCCTGAATTTAAAATGATTGACTATACCAAGTGTTACCAAGGACATGGAGGATCTAGAACTCTCATATACTGCTGGTGAGAGTGTAAAATGTTTAGAACCGCTTTGGAAAGCAGTTTGGTAGTGTCTTAAAAAGTAGAGCATAGACCTATCATATGAGCCATCTGTTCCACTCTTAAGTATTCACCCACGAGAGTGAAGGCATATATCCCTATAAGACTTGAACATGAATGTTCATAGGAGTATTATTTATAAGAGCCAAAAACTGGAAACAGCCCAAGTGTCCATCAAGAGGTGAATTGATAAACAGATTCATACAATGAAATACTACTTATTTATCAATAAAAGCAAGTGAAATAGTAGTATACACAGTCACATGAATGTATCTCAAAATTATGCTGAATAAAAGAAGACAGAAAAAGAGTACATACTATATGATTGCATTTATATGAAGTTCTAGAAAATGTAAGCTAATCTGTAGCAAACAAAAATAGATCCAGTGGTTACAGCTTTGGGATGTAATGGCTTTGTTCAGTATCTTAATTGTGGTGAAGCACAAGTATAGATACATATGTATGAAATTATATCAGTTTATATACCTTAAATATTTATAGTTTATTTTAAGTTAATATACTTCAATAAAATTATTTTTCAAATTTAACATTCCAGTTAAATGTTCTTAAATTCATTTATTTTTAATTTTAGGGAGGAAATCCTTCAACAGTCCTTATGGGAAAGAGTATCAACTCACGTAATTGAAAACATCTATCTTCCAGCTGCACAGACCATGAATTCAGGAACGTTTAATACTACAGTGGATATCAAGCTTAAACAGTGGACAGATAAACAGCTTCCTAATAAAGCAGTAGAGGTTAGGATATAATTTAATTAAATGGGTAAGAAGCATTATCTGAAGGGACTAGGAGCTGTGAATTTTAGGTTTTATTGCTATCACAGCCAATGTCTTTCTTTTTAGTCTTTATACTCTTGACTATTTTAAAATTTTAGTAGTTGGTACTGGGTTGAAAGTATTGGCTCTTCTGTCGAAGGTAGCATTTTGAAAAACCAGCAAAATGTGTTTGAATGTGAAATATTTTGAACATCTGTGGATAGAAATTCCATAAGGAGAGGCTTTCATGGATAAATATTTCAGTCATTTTCTAGAGAGCTGTTACACTTAAATAGTCATTTTCTTAGTTAGGCTCCTGCCAGAAGATTAGATTAGGAATCATAAGAAAGTTCCTTAAATAAAGAGCCATTTTTGTTATACACATATTTTGGCTCTGTGTGATTTTTGGGTTATTTGTCTGTGCCTCTGTTTCCTCATCTATAAGAGATGATAATGTTCCCTACCTCACAGAGTTGTTGTGAGAATTAACAAAGTTAATGCAGGTAAAATACTTAGACAGTAACTGGCCCATAGTGAACACTCAGTAAATGCCAGCTGCTATTAATCATCTTTGTCATATCTGAGTTGATCAGCCATACACATTACTCTCTGAAGAGTGATTTTTCTAAGAGTCAGTCTGTCCTATGTTCTGTGTGAACTTACTCAGAAAATTGAAATCAATGTTAAAAATAATTTTACTTGTCACCCCTTACCTTAGAAACAAAATGTCAGCTTCTGATTGTTCACACGTGATTTCACCCTTTCCTATCCACCTCTAGCCCTAGCTTCTTCACCTCTGTTCTTAGTTTCCTCTACCTTTCCTTTCTGAGAACTCTTACATTCTCCTTCCTTAAGTTGTATGTTGATGAACCCTGGTCCATTGTCAACACATTTACCCCTAAAGTGATTAGAATGCTGCTGCAGCCACTTCACTAGTTGTCCTCACTCCTGGCCCTGTCATTTTTTCTGGGTTCTGTCCCAGCTATGGTATTTTCACATCCTAAGGTTCAAGCAGTAGACGTGGCCGTTAAAAGGACAGTGATTCTGTCTCATGCTGATTTCCATCCTTGGACACAGGAGTAGTTAAAAGGACAAGGACATTGCCCTGATGAGAGTCAGGAACATGGATCTTAAGGCTCACTCCATGTCCCCACTGTGTATCCTGGGATATTACTTTTCTTTATGCCACCATTTTTTTTATCTATAACATGAAGAGGGCTAAATATAAAACCCAGGGTTAAAAATCCACTTACACATAAGTTGATTTAGTTCTTAATTACATTTGATGTTGTACTCTCTTTTCCCTGTTCAGATAATTAGGAGTTAGCTATAATATGAGCCTGAATAATAATTTAGCTATATTTGAAAGTATTGGTTCAGTACAGAAGACTGAATCATTAACTAGCTTTTAAACTTTATAATGTGGGAGAAGGAGACAAACTCCAGGGTCCACAGGAATAAGTCTGGTGGCAGACTGAGTGCTTGCCTTTTGTAGTGGAGCTGTACTTGCTCAGCCCCAACAGTTGGGATCATGTAGAAATAGGGGTACCGTGTTGCCAGAGAGTTCCAGAAAGGCTGGAAATGCAGATTTTTATATGAAGTCTCAATTTTTCAGTATTTGCATCTAATTTTTTTAAAAGTTTAAATTGTATATGTCTAGCAAAATTTGTCAGGAGCCCAAACCTATCCCCACCAGCCACCATTATCTATCCTAACCCATTATCCAGAGGATGAGGCCTCTGGACCAGAGTTTATATTTACTGCCCCCCGCCCTTTTTTTTTTTTTTAATGAAAACATAGTTTTGTGTATCTTTTCTGATAAGCTGATCTGTCTCATCTGTTTGACTTGAGTTCATGTATTATTTTTTTCATGTTCTATATTAAATAAATGTACATAGTGTCGAGATAGCTTTTTGCTCTTTTTAAATAATTCTAGGTTGCTTGGGAGACCCTACAAGAAGAATTTTCCCACTTCATGACAGAACCAAAAGGAAAAGAACATGATGACATATTTGATAAACTTAAAGAGGCTGTTAAAGAAGAAAGTATTAAACGCCACAAGTGGAATGACTTTGCAGAAGATAGCTTGGTATGTCATTTATGTATTAGAATGTCAGCCTCATGTTTTTATATAATTTCTCAAATTGATGCTCTTTTATAGGGGACTATTTATATATAATTACTTAAATTACATTTTGAATTTAAAATAATGAGGGAAATAAATAGCTATGTGATCTATAATCTGCTTTTTAACATTTTCTCTGCCCTTGTAAAATCAGCGTCTACCTTTCTTTGTTGGCTATCATTTCAGAAAAGAAGTCAAACTTTGCAGTAAACAGGCTTCCGTAAACATGGGCCTGAACTACAGAAGCCTGCTTCTCCTTTCACTCTCTCTTGTAATGAAAATAATTCTATGCATTGGTTTTCAGTGGTTTTGCATCATAAAATATTGGAATCCTAAAATCATAACACTGCCTACCATGTATTGAATGTTTACTGTGTGCTAGGAACTCTGCAAAGTATTTCGTAAGCATTATTTCATTTAATTCTTACAGCAATTGTATTGTCCTTGAACCTTAGCGGTGCAGTGGTTAAGCACTTGGCTGCTAATCAAAAGTTGACGTTTCAAACCCCCCAGCCACTCCACAGGAAAAAGATGAGGCGGTCTGCTTTTGTAAAGATTACAGTCTTAGAAACCTTGTGGGGCGGTACTGTTCTGTCCTATAGGATCACTGAGTTGGAATTGCCTCCATGGCACACAGTAACAGCATTATAGTCATTGACTGGGCTAGAATTCAGGCCCAGCTCTGTCTGACTACAAAGCTTTGGCCTCTTTGACCTCTACCTCCTGATAGAGCTTTTGTTATATAGAACATCCTACCATAACTTTTTTGAGCACGTGTCTGCTCAGTTAGGAGAGGTACTGTTAAATGACAAAATTGAGTTGTTTTCTAAGGACATGCATACCCCACTGTGGGTTGTTATAATTACAATTTTATTTTGAAGAAATGTTTGTATTCATATTTGAAAATCGTATTCATTCTTGCTAAATACTTTGTAAGACTGACTTTCTAAAAGACTAATGCCACTTTGATTCATTCATTCATTGTTAATAAAATTGGGAAACCAGTTTTCACTTTTTTTTAATAAATAACGAATATGATTTTGTAGACTTTCTAAACTTCTACCTTCTTTCTTTTATTATTACTCTTAGCAGTGAAGTATACTGATTATTAATGTTTTTCCCTTTTTTTGAAAATGGTAATACATTGATTTTACAGCAAAACGGGAGATGGAGATGATCTGTCTTATAAACTCCTGAATGCTAAGGCTTTGAATGTAGGATTTTATGTAGTTAAACGTGTAATATGCCTCTCCCTGGACCTTCTTAAAGACAGCTTATTTAGTTGGGCAAAGAAACAGCTGCCAAAAAGCAGGCAAATAAAAAGATGACTTGCATTCTTATGGGAGGGACAGACTTTTATGTTGTTTTAGGTACATCTGTTATTTTGGATATTCATTAAGTTGTCAATATGAACAAAACTACTGAAAAGATAAGACATAAATCAGATTAGCATTTTCCTTCCTTATTCTTTCAGAGAGTTATTCAACACAATGCTTTAGAAGACCGGTCCATATCTGATAAACAGCAGTGGGATGCAGCTATATATTTTATGGAAGAGGCTCTTCAGGCTCGTCTCAAGGATAGTAAGTAGTGACATGAGTCATTGAGTTCTGATTGTCCACAGTGGAGAAAGTCTCATCCAACTTTGTGAATATTCATAAAACTATAACATTTTTAGGTCTTTATCATTAGTACTATAGTTGAATATATTTTATTGTGGACTTTTTAGTCAATTGCTTAGAATTATTAGAAATGTGAGATAAATTGGACTCATGCTCAGATGTACTTATGTTATTCTAAAACATTGTAATTCAGAAAAGTTTAGTATGTTTGCCACTGTATTTACAGGAATTTTAAAAGCATTTGTACTTTTCTTATATTCTGTATATATATAGAATTAAATTCTTACACATATACCATATCCAACATATATTTTTTCTTATTTGAACTTAACTTTATATTGACACAGCACTTTGAAGTAGTTAAAAAAGTAAAAGACCATGATTAATTACAATTTATATACTTGGTGTTCTGGTTACCGAGTGCTGCTCTGACAAGATATATCACAAATGGGATGGCCTTAACAAACAGGAGTTTATTCTTACAATTTGGAGGCTGTAAGTGTAAGTTCAAAGGGCCAGGCTCTAGGGATTGGGTGAAAGCCCCTCAATCTTGGGGTCCAGCTCTGCCTCCTGCTTCCAGCCCACTGGAGCTATAGGCATTTCTTCACTCAGACAGCTGTTGGCTGCTGAGGCTGACAGACCCAAGTTGACAAGTAAAAAGGCACAGTCCCTTTGTTACCAGACTACCAGTAATTCAAGTCCATTGCAAATCCCAAGGTTGGCAGAGCATGGCAGGCTAGTGAACAATTACATGGCTACTTACAGGGTTTAAGTGTGCCATAAGCTAGAGACCATTCCCAAAGCTGCTGCTTATATACCGAAAGCAGACCACATACCCAAAGCAACTATTCAGCTGCTTGTGGTACACCATGGAATTGATTGCCAGTCTCATCATGGGAAATAACTACCACCAGCTGCCCAGCCACTCAACCAGGCCCAGTCAAGTTGACACACAAACATAACCACCACACTTGGTAAGTGATAAAATTTTTAATTAGTTAAAATATTTCTTTATTTTTCTAGCTGAAAGTGCAATTGAAAACATGGTAGGTCCAGATTGGAAAAAGAGGTGGTTGTACTGGAAGAATCGGACCCAAGAACAGGTGAAAACAAACAAATCTCTGTTCTCATGATGATATTTTGTTCATTTTAATTCAGGCAGTAAAATAGAATGTTTGCATGTCTCTAGACCAGTGTTAATATTTTCAAATGTTGTATGTTGGCCTTTTTAAAATATAGCTAATGTTTAGAATAGACAGTAAACTATAAAAGAAGGACTTTTTTAAAAAAAAGTAAAGTAGCTACATTTCTATTTCATTTGGATTTTTCTGTTAGTAGTCTATTCAAATTTTTTTTTTGTTCTTTATATTTTTCTAGCTATGTTCACAAAATAAGTATAAAAATTCAGACAGGAACCAGAATTACAGAACTCATTAATTTAGTAGTATTTAATAGTACCTCAGAAGAACAAAAATAGTAACACTTATAAATTTTAAGAATGACTAAATAGAGGGAAAATGCAAATAATTGAAATTCCCACCATTACTGCCACCTCCAGCTCTTTTTATTACTGTCAAATTCTTAAGATTTCTTCTTCATTTAGCATTATTTTTTAAAACTGTCTCATTCCTATATTCATTCGTTCACAATTATAAATAGAATATAGACTCTAAATACATAAATGAATAACGTAATGAATTACAACAGGAGAGAACATCCAATCCACTTTCTTCTTTTCTTTGTTCCTTGACTGCATTTATTATAGAAGACTAAGAAATGGAAAAATTAAGATGGGAGTTAAAGGGAATGAAAACTTACGAAATGACATACCATCTTTATTTTCTTGATGATTTTATATTTTTGTTTTCACTTTACATCCAATTAAATTAAATAATCAATACCCAATATTTTTCCAGTTTCCAGTTTCATACATTTCTTCTTTCATAAAGTCTTTAAATGTGAGTCTCAGCTTTTCTCCAAATAGTGAAGAGACAGTCTTCTCTTTTTTTCTTCTATGACTTATGTAAAAAATGAGTCATTGAGAAACTGAGGAAGTGGACAGAGTTAGTGATTGCATGTGTTCAGGGTGCATCAGTTATCTCTGCTCTGCAGATGGCCTGAGAGCAGGAGGTCTGTCAGAAAACAATTTCTATAGAGCATCCGTCACAGGTTTCTGACTTTGAGGCAAGAACAGACATTGATTGGAAAAAGCTGGTATAAGGCAGATAAACTCCAGGAAAAAAAAATAGTGCCTGGCCTTCAAGGTGTAGTGAAATTAGCCCTACAGTCTGTCCAAAACAATCGACGATGGGAGCATTTGCCTCAGCAACCTTGTGGTGAATATGCTTTGGCCAAACACTTGGAAAAAAATGACTCCTGGTTGTAAAATACTATTCCTAGGAACTTGGACCCATTGGGGATTCCTCTTAAGAAACAGAGAATTAGTTTTAAGGTTAAAGCAAAGGGTCTGTGGCTAAAAAAAATCTGGAAATCCATCAGAGAAGAACTTTTTCCCTGCAGTGTTTCGAGGCAGGATGCCTAAGATCCAGACTGATCAAGGATTTGCCATAACTTGGAGTGTAGAGGCGAGTGGGTATATCAGAAGCACCTGGAGTGGTGTTTGTGTATGTATGAGTTGGTATTTTTCCCCTCCTTCAAAATGCAGCTTCATGTCACACTACCTAAATCAGATTCTCCATCTCTAACCTTTCTTGTTCTCCCATTCCCAAATGCAAACCGCTGTTCTAGACCTCGTATGAAAATGAACACACTTTAAAATCAGACTGCATTTTACATATAATTTCTTTATCAGAAAGGAAACATGTCAACAAGTATGAATTCTTACAGTAATCTAGTTCTTTTATAGGGCATAGAACATTATTTCTTCCCATACATTCAGGGTACTTTTTTCTAGGCCTAGATCAGACCCTAATGTCAATAAATAATGTTAAAAAGTACTTAATAAGGTGCTTAGTGCTGTCACTTCAGTAGTAAAACATTGGCAAAAGTAAAATGTAACAATAGTGCTAATTCCTCTTTATTCACCTCTCATAAAGCCATGTTGTGCTTTCATACGCCAGTTGCCCTATATAAGCCAGGTTGCTGGATTTTTTTGTTTGTCATGATGATTAAGCTTATGTTGCCAATTGTGCAATAGTAATAGATTTATTAAGATTGGAATGCTATATTTACATGTGTGTGAAATAATACACCAACTAAACTAACATAGTCCTCTTTTAAATATTTTGAAGTGTGTTCACAATGAAACCAAGAATGAACTGGAGAAGATGTTGAAATGTAATGAAGAGCACCCAGCATACCTTGCAAGTGATGAAATAACCACAGTGCGAAAGAACCTTGAATCCCGAGGAGTAGAAGTAGACCCAAGTTTGGTAATAAATAATATTTCTGAAAAACATGAACCTGCTTCCTTAATCTTTGTTTCTTGCTGTAAAAAGTTTTACTACTTTTAATGTGTTACTTAGATCGTTTATATGCTCAATTCGACTTTGATCATGTATATTTTTGCTGATAATGAAAACTCAATCATTTTGCTTGAGTAAGGAGTAGAAATTTTACCCTGCATTAATTTTTTTCAGTCTGATGCTCTAATTAGCTAATGAGTAAACTGAGACTTAGAGAAATGAAGTTTTTTAAGCATGTCCAGCATTTAGTTCTAGCCAAGGGCAAATAACCCATCTAGATCTCTGCACCACATCACACTGTATCAGATTGCAAAACAGAATTTCTGTTTACGTGTAACTCACTGCATACACATATATGTTTTACAGTCAAATAATTACAGCTCGAGTGTGGATTTAGAAAAATTACGAGTGTTAAAGTTTTATTAAATTGGATAAGGTCTTTGGGTTCTATCTCAGTTTCTTTATAATAAGTATGAGGATAAAAATAGTCTTAAAATATGACTGTATTTTACTTACTTTTATGAAGTTTATTTGGACAAATTCTGAAATAAAAACTGGTGTGTTTCTGGGCAAACGTGCATTCCCAACTACTTAGTTCAGGTATGCGTATGGGTTCGAAAGCTCATTTTAATACTAATTTAAGTGAAACCTAATTAGAAAAGTAAATTTAATGGGAGTAGCAATTATATAAGAAATGCCAAAGCCAAAAATGAATTATTTTAAAGAATATCTGCTGTTTATGTTTCTGTACTTGAGAAATGAGTATACTTATTTTAAATTCCACCAGAGGCCAAAAAAAGGAAAGAAACTCAGTAAAACTCAAAGCAGCTAAACCTTTTAGTGTTGTTTATAAATTGAAAGTGAGATTAATGGTTAAATGAGATTTTTACTTGAATATAAATTTTATTTTCCACATTTCTCCTAGCCCTCATTTATAATAAATTTGATACTCTTTGTGTTGACACTTTTGAGAGATTTTTCTCTTGAAAGTGGAAGGTAAGAGGTTATGTGATTTTTTTTTTTAATCTTTGTCCGTATCTTAGGATATGAATTGACTGTACATCTTGTTTGTTTTCTGTAAGCAAGAAAATCTTTTTAAATTCTTTTAAGTGACTTTTTGTTTGAAGCACTTTTTGAAGCTACAAGAAAGATAGCAAAGTTCAGTGAAAAGAACATTAGATGGACAGGATGTCAGGAGATGTACATTCTGCATAGTTCCATTTCATTTGCTAGGAATGTTACCTTAGTAATTTATATAACGTATGTAACTTAAGTAATTTATATTTTGTCATATGTAAAATGACAGTGATGATACTTGTCTATTTAACATTATTCTTGGTAGCTCCAAAAGACAATGGGTGTGAAAAAAAGCATTGAATACTCTAACAGACTGTACAGTAGTAAAGTGGCAGGGGTGATAGGGTAGCGATGGAATTTCAAAATCAGAAAGGAAATATTGTTGAGTTGATGGACATAGTCTGTGACTGGCTTCCCAGCTGTACCCTATTCTTGGATGAGACTCTTGACTTCTTATTGCCTTAGTTTCCATACCTCTAACTAGGGGAAGAGAATCCCCACCCTGCCTAATCCACAAAAGATTGAAATACAATAATTCTTGCTGAAAACATTGCAGATTTTGAAGTACGTAAACTGTTAAGGGGTCAGGGTGGTAGTACTTTGAATCTTTGTCTTGCAGAAAAAAAGTAAGTGAATGAAAAAGGTTGGTAGAATAACTACATTGCTGTTGCTTTTAATGTTTGTATAAGTGAACTGTGCAGTTTTTCAGGAAGTGTTTCATCAACATCAAGAGTATAAATTACCCCTTTCCTTTTTGTTTTCTCGTGTTAGATTAAGGATACTTGGCACCAAGTTTACAGAAGACATTTCTTAAAAACAGCTCTAAATCATTGTAATCTTTGTCGAAGAGGCTTTTATTACTACCAGAGGCATTTTATAGATTCTGAGGTAAGGTTTCCAGAAACAAGCAGAAATGTGTGCTAGCAATAGATGCTTACAGATATTTAAAAGTAAACTTCACCTTTAGCATTAATTTTGTCTCCTTTGCTCTTCTGGTGAAAAGTATATGTGATTTACAAAGAATAATGCAACGCATATCTTTTCAAAGATACTTCTTCCTTTGGTAGTAACTGCATCTCACACATGCATCATCCCCAGTGCCTGTCAGAGTGTGTGTGCATATAATAGACACTAAACCACTTCTTGGTATTGCTCTTCCATTTTTTTAAATAATAAACTTTTTTTTATATTAGAAAATAATACATTCCAATACCAAAAAAAAAACCCATTGCTATCAAGTCAATTCCGACTCACAGGGACTCCCACTAAGATTCCCAGGCAGTAAATCTTTATGTAAGTATATGGCCCAGGCTTCCTTCCACAGAGTAGCTGGTGGGTTTGAACCACCAGCCTTCTGGTTAGCAGTCAGATGCCTTCAGCACTGTGCCAAAAAATGTAAAAAAGTGTAACTCAGTTACACTTGTCTGTCCTAGAAGTGATTTTGGTTAGTGTTTCTGTGTACAGGTAAGCATCACTTAACATACCCTTTTCTTGAGGTCAGAGCCCCGCCTCTGCCTGGGTGCTGTGTACAGCCCTGAAGCTACCTTGTCTGCAGCAGTGGAGGCCCAGGCCCAAACTCCCAATCTTGGTTCCTATCAGCTCCTGTATCTCAGCAGGTCTAGACCCCATGTTCTGCCCAGTGAGATCCCAAAGAGTGCCAATGGAAAGGAATGCACCCAGGGTGCCCTAACCCTAACTGTGGCACAGGTGCCTCCGGCCTCTATGGCCTCCATGTCCCCTCCCTAGATGAGCTGGCCTTCCCTGCAGCTAGCTTAGCAGAGAAGCTAGTGACACCTGGGCAGGATCCTGGCGAGCACTCACCTAAGGCATCTGCAGTGGAAGCTGCCTAGGTCATGCACTGCACCTGAGAGCCCCACGACCTCTCCGGACACAGGTGTTCACACAATGTCCTAATCAAGTAACATCCTATTTCACAGAATGTATTCTGTTCTACTTTTTCTATACATGTGTGTGTGTAGCATAACCATCCATTTATTTAGTGAAAACCATACTGCTTTTTTATCCTGCTGCTTACCCATATCATATTGTAAATCTTCTTTAAAAGAACTGTGTAATGTTCTTGGAGTGGATACTCTTACGTAGTTTAATAACTCATTTTACAGAGTAATCCCTAGGTGGCAGAAGAGTGCATTTGGGGCATTTTCTTACAAGGAAGAATGCTTTTTAAAATACCCATTTGAAAGAGTTCTGCTAATCAGTGGTCTTATTTAATTTAGATCCCTGAAGTGCTTTATATTTTGAACTTTCAGCTGCTTAGAAGAGAATTTTTACTTAAATGCACATATGTGAAAGTGCTGAGTTTAATTTTTGAAAAGACCTTTCCCTACAGATTAAGCTGCTTTTTAAAAATATTTTTATATACAGCTAAATTTCAAAAGAATGGCTTGAATACACACTCAAAGACAAAAGGTTAGCCTAAAGACATATTTAAATGTACTTGGTTGTTAATTAGGGAGCTCTGGTGGCATAGTGGTTAAAGCATTTGGCTGCTAACCAAAAGGTCAATGAACCTATCAGCTGATCCTTGGGAGAAAGATGGGCAATGAAGATTTACAGCCTTACAAAACCTATAGGGCAGTTCTTCCCAGTTATAAGGAAATACTATGAGTCAGAAATCTACTTGATGGCAGTGGGTGGTTGTTAATTGAAATTGCATACAAATTGAAGGTATATGCTATAAATTTGTATTTGTGTATGTTTATTGTTATTGTTAGCTACCATGGAGTTGATTCTAGCTCTATTTCCCAAGTGTATTAGTGTTGTCATTTGGGAGTCAAAATGAAGCTATAGATGAGCAGGGCACATAGAACCCAAATCATGCAATATTTCATGGCGTCTGTACAGAGAAGATCTTATAGCTTATATGTATAGTAGGAATATGTGTATTTTTGTAAATCTAAGTGTTTTTTATTAAAGCTTAGGATATAGGTGCTAACTTCTAGTGGTTGTATAGTTGTGTGTTCTCATTTTTAAATCTGCATCAGGTAATTTTAATTACTATTTCAGTTGGAATGCAACGATGTTGTCCTGTTTTGGCGAATACAGCGCATGCTTGCTATCACCGCAAATACTTTAAGGCAGCAGCTTACAAACACTGAAGGTAAGCCACATGGAAACCACTTTCAAATTTTCATATCAATAATAATACAAATAAAATCCATTTTTAACAGAAAAATGCCAAAATATTTCCTTAAAAATAATGTATTAGCCTAAGAAATTATAATTTGCTTTTAAAATCTTAATAAGCACAAATCATAATTGGAAATGATGAGAGATAAAACATTCCTACAGTCTTTGTTATTATACAAAAACTCCATTAAAAAATGCATTACTTAGTTTTTTGGAAAATCTGTGCTTCCGTTATAATTACAGTTGTTGTTGTGGTTGTTATGTGCCGTCGAATCGGATCTGACTCAGCAGCAACCCCTCCTTGCGTTTCCAAGGCAGTATCGTTATACAAGTAGATTGCCCAATCTTCCTTCTAAGGAGTGGCTAATGGGCTTGAACCACCAGCCTTCTGGTTAGCAGTCAAGTTAGGGCTTGAAAATAGGATTTTCACTGAGACTATTTATCAATTTCATGGTTTACTATATAACAGGTGAACATTCTCCTGTAGCTGTGAGAAATGAGAACTTAATAGATCTGATATCATGGGAAAAATAAGAGCTTAATATGTGCTTATTTGTTATCATCCCTGTTCATTCATAAAAACGGTGTTCCTTAGACTTTCTGTTTACTTTGAACAGTCAGACGATTGGAGAAAAATGTTAAAGAAGTATTAGAAGATTTTGCTGAAGATAGTGAAAAGAAGGTTAAATTGCTTACTGGTAAACGAGTTCAACTGGCTGAAGACCTCAGTAAGTAGTCCTTTCTGCCCTATACCTGACCACCTTGCTGCCTTTTCCATTTTCGTTTACTCCCAAGCACTTCATTGTGGGTTTCTTACAAAGAAGGACTTTTTCCTGATAGCCGTAACGCAACCATGAAAATGAGGACGTTAATACCGACACATTACTACATCTAATTATCAGACCCTATTCAAGTTTCGCCAATTATCCCAACATTGTCCTCCGATATAATAAGACGTTCCAGGCTTATCCTGTATTTTTTCCAACTCAGCTTTCTTTTGGCAAATGGTATTTAGAAATCTCGATATGCTCTTTGTTACAGGAGTATCACTGTTCCTGGGCCCTCACAGTGGAACAAGCTAGAGAATAAATGGTTTTTATGTGTGTAAAAGCATCATATATACATATTTACACCTATAGTCCTAATAATATGCACATGTATATATTGAAAGCCTTGGATTAACACCAGTACTTCCAGTTCTAATCTAGTACCACAGGATACATTCTACTTTTCTCCCTTTCCGTATTTTTAAGTCCCTTCCTGACAGGAAGAAACCTTGCTGTTAGTATCTTTAATATGTTTACATATTTGGATCAGTCCCCCTGTATGTAACCAAACTCTTGTCAGTGTCCCCTCTGTTGTTCAGACTTCCTTCTCGCCCAGCTCCGGCTCTCACCCCCATTAGACCACCACCACTGTGCTTCACCCTGTGCTACACTGTCTTCACCCACTTAGGTTCTGACACTCTGTGGCAAATTGTGCTTTTTCTCAGAGCCTTTTTACTGAGCTCATGCTCTAATGCCCAGTGCCAGGCACTCCTGCAGACACATGGGCACCGTGTCACCCTTCTTCACAGTTGTACTCTGATGCTTTGTGCCATCTCTTCCTCCTCTTAGCCCTTCTAACGCACACACGATTCCTTCTCACCTGAAGGCAGACCACAGTTCTGTAGAGACTCTCACTTGTGCTTGGACACCATGTACCAGGCTACTTCATATGGATGCTCTCCTCACCAGTGGGCCTTGCCTCCAGCTCCCCTCCCCCATATGTTAACCTTGGTCAGGTGTCAATGCCCAGTCTAGGCCACTGTGGATTTTCTTGCCCCTCCTGACCTCTAGCTTGGCCCTACTAATTAATGACTTTCAGAGATGAGGGGGATTTGGTTCTTTCTAAAATGCTGCTAGGTTCCTAACTATAAGAAGCTATTTAGGGTGCATGTTAAAATGTACTTAGAATTGAGAAGCCAAAAAAATGAGTGAAAGGTTACTATTAAATGAACATACTGGTGGTTGATCCTTTAGTTTGTTACAAGTTTATTACAAGTTTTCCTTATTTAAATTTGGTGAAAAAAATACTTCTTCTTTTAATGTGTATTTGGTTCTTTCCAGCTAGATTTCATAATATAAAGTATCTTTTAAAATAAGCAAAACATTGTATTAGTTTTACAAAACTATAAGTTTGGTGTGTTACGAGTTTTCTGGGATCTAAAATAAAGCAAATGCTGTTTGGAGAGAAGTTTTTCAGATTCAAAGGTAGTTTCTAAACTGACTTTATATCACTCCAGTGTAATCACTAGGATATGCCAAGAAACCAGATAGAGTTTCCTGTTTTATACCTTGTGCCTCAGTGACGTGCTCTCCTCTCCGTCCCTTGTCATCTCACTCTCCCCCTTCTAGTTTTCTGAGCACCTGTTTCTTTCTCCTTTTCTTTTTGTTCTCTCCTTAAATATTCTCTAATTGAAACATATTTTAATCTCATTTTGCTGTTGTTTATTTCATTTTTCATACTATTTTGGTAGTGTCTGTGCTTGAATCTTAACTCCCATTTATTATCTTAAACAGGTGTTACCTTAGATTATCTCCCAGAACTTGCACATCTTTGTCTATAAAAGGGCTACTTTAATAGTTATTTCATGGGATTATTAGGAGAGTTAATCTAATAACCATGTCTGGAAATTTCTAGTTATTCCCCTTTTTTTTTTTTTGCTAAATTATTACTGTTACAGGAAGAAGTGTCATATTTTTATACAAATAATGTGTGCATTGTATGTTTTGCACACACGAAAAAATAAACCCCTGCTGTTTTTGTAAGCATGCTATACCATCGTTATATGGGTGGATATGTTATTTGTGAAAAAATACAGTAGTTTGTATCCCTCACAAGAGTAATCAGTCAGTGAGAATACTTCAGTGAATTTTACTAGCATGTGCAGTTTTAAGTGATTAAAAAGCAGTAAGTGTCTTTTCTCATGTTTTAGAGCCTCTGCAACCTCATCACCCACCACTCTCAATTAGATTATTTAAAGAAAGTGTATTACTAGTTCATATATGTATATATATATATATATATACTATCAAGCCAAGTCTCATGTTCTTCTGCTGATTTTCTTGAAAAAATATTCACATGATTCTTTGGAAATTGTTTACTACATGTAAAATTAAGATAGTATTGATGTACTAAATAATGTCCTTGGGAGCAAGTGTTTTACCAGTGACTCGGCTTCATCAGTCACACTGAAGGAGATGAACTATGACTATCCATCAGTTGAAAAAGAGTCTTTAGAGTACCTTTTCCTTACTGGTCTAACACTTGGGTGTATGGTCATGGCTACTTTATATCAGAAGACTTTCAGAGTTTAACAGTTAATACTGTATTATACGTATCAGAGTTTCTAGTCAACTAGAATGTAATGTACTGGTTAATGGTATTTGGAGAGAGGGAAGCAACCAAGAGAATTTTACTCTAGTATCAGAATAGTACATGGTAAAAGATTGTAGAGATTGGTGAAAATTTTGATGATGTATTTTTTGCTAGTCTTATATTTTCCCAAATTTAAGTAATTTCAACACTTTACTTTGGGAATGCATCAATTGTTTATTCTTTAAAAGAAACACATAAGAATTGGTAAGAGTTCTTTTATCCTGGAGACGATATACCATGTTCACTATTGAAATAAAGCCATGAAGCAAGAGTTAGGAAGATTGAAGAAGTCTAGTCTCGAGAAACTCTCGAGGACAGAAGTTAGACAAAGGAACCGGGACTTCCTGGAGAGGAGGGAAAGGACAGACAAGCCTGAGACATCTTAAGGTGTCAGAAGGGAAGTGTTTGAAGGATGACGGGAGCATGTCAACAGGACACAGATGCCTACTTGAAGAGGCTCCAGGTGGCCAAACCTGGGACAGTTTGAACATCTAAATACATAATGATAGTAACAAAGTATAGAATAAAATAGAAATCTAGGAGTTTATAAATAATGAATAAAATTAGTGCTGAGAAATGGGATATTGGGATATTTGTATAATCACACAAAATATTTCCACATAAAATATTTATTAATTAGAAAGGAAAAAAGTAATTTTGTGGAAAAGTCTGACAGTCACTGCCTTAATCATTTGATCAAAGTAACTATCAGTAATGGTCAGATCAAAATTGTGTGCCTCCTTATAGAATGCTTTGAAAGGAACCCAGCATCATTTCTAGCATACTCTTAGCAAAGGTAGATGACTTCAGTCCAGTCATACAGAGCTGTCAGTTAAACCCAAAGTAAGGCACAGTCTAAAAAGTAACTGGCCTGTTCAAAATTGTCATGATCATGAAAGACTGAGGAACCATTCCAGATTGAAGGAGACAAAGGACATGACACTAAGTGCAGTATGTGAATCAGGACTAGATTATTTTTTCCCCACCCCTAAAGGATATTAGAAGACAGTTGGCAAAACTTGAATGGAGTCTGAGGGTTACAGCAGGGTAAAATATCAGTGTTAATTTTAAAAATTTGACTGTTACATTGGAATTATTTAGGAAAATGTCCTTATTTGTCGCTAAAACAAAATAGAATATTTGGATGTGATGGGACAAAATGACAGTAAATGGTTCAGGAAAAAATAAGTCTTGCAACTATTCTCTAAGTTTGAGATTAGAAAGATTAAAAATTAAGCAAAGATTCAATTTTGTTTTTATAACTAATAAAGAACCAGGAGCATGTGAAAATACTTCAGAAAAAAACTAGTTCTCCTTCCACAGCTGGTTGCCATCCAGTGGATTCCAGCAAGTGGTGGCTGCCGTTTGTGTCGGAGTAGACTTGTGCTCCAGAGAGTTTGTAGTGTTGTTTTTTCAGTAGGTCTCTAAGCCTTTCTTCCATGGCACTTCTGGATGGACTTGAACCTCCAACCTTTTGGTTTGCAGCCAAACTCATTAACCATTTGCACCATCCAGAGACTCCTGGAGAAAAGTAGATGTTGAAAGCATGATCTCTGGAGATGTTGAAAGACTGAGTTACCTCAGGAACAATTTAAGAAGTTATCTGTCCATTGTCTTGCTTTGATTCTGAATCTGCAGTTACTTCCCACGCTTAGAGTTGTCCTGTGTTTGCATAAGCCCATTTTAACTCTCATGAAAATCTTTTTATTTTGTAGAAAGTTTAATTTCAAAGGATTTTTTTATAGCTATTTAATACAGTGCTAGCTTATCTATTTGGATTTGTAGCATAATTTTTAGTAATGTGTCCATCCTGTTTATTGAGTAGAGTGTGATTTTAAAGTGCAGTCTTTGAAGAGGCAAAGATTGATATATTATGACTCAGTTCAAGTGGTTCTTTCTAGATTATGATTTCCATCATTAAAAAAAAAAAATCTCACAAATTTTTATTAGAGTTTGTTCCCCTACCCTCCCTCACCACTAGAACTGAGCATCCAGGCACTGGTAACAATTGCTGGCAGTGTTGCTAAACAAGAGTTTCATCAGTGCAGCATGGAATTATTTTATTGTCTGCCTTATGAATATTGCATCAACTATTAACTTGGTTGTTGTTAAGTTTTTTATACTTTTGTATAAATTACTTAAGATTTAGAGCTTAGATTTCTTTTTTAACTGTTCTTCTCTAAAGCCTGAGTTAATACTTTTTGTTCTTTATAATCAGAATCATTGAGACAGAGGAATTAGAGTAAATTACCAGTCATTCAGATGGCTTTCTGAGATCTAGGGAGTCTTTTCCTCCTTCTTTTACAGC